CAAGCAAAGCAGAAAAAGCAGTCGCAACCGAGGAATTAATAAAGTCGGCTGATAAAATAGCCGAGCAAGACCTAAAACTTAGCGAGTGAAAAGAAAAATATAGTAGTTTAGAGTTAGAAAAGAAAGGATTAAATGAAAATATTGATAATTTGAATACTGAAAACAAGGGATTAAATGATAAGGTTAGCGAGTTAGAAGGACAATTAGAAACTAAAACTAGTGAAAATGCTTCTCTGAACGAACAACTAACTAAGGAGCAAGCCGCTCGCCAGGCAACCCGTAATGAAAAAGACGAAGCACAGGAGAAATACAATGTTGCTAACGGAGAACTCACAGCCAAACAAAAGCGGATAGAAGAATTAGAGGAAACCAATAATAATTTAACAAACAATTTTCAGACAAAAGGGGAAGAATTAGCAACAAAGTTAAGCGAAGCAGAGGAAGCATTGAAAAAACTACAAACTCAATTAGAAAGTAATCGGACAAAATGAAACCTAGAAAAGGAGGCAGCGGAAAAAACAAAGGGCGAACAAGAAGAAAAGATTAATGGTTTAGAAAGTCAGTTAGCCAGTCAAAAAGAAGCCAATTTTGCTTCGTCCGAGCAATTAAAGAAAACGGGAGAGGAAATGGACGATTATAAAAGTAAATTGGCTAAATGGAGCAATAATTTTAAAACTGATGATGCGGATACTGCTGCGACTGCCAAAACCAAAATTGAAACAGACTTAAAAACCTGAACTGACAAGTTTGGTTCTGATGCTAATGCCACTGAAACTAGACTAAACACTGCCGAAACAGACCTTAATAAATACCAAGAGGAAGTTGAGAGAATACAGGAACAAAATACAATTTTAGAAGCCGAAAAGTTGGGGTTACAAAATGAAGTAGACAATTTAAACCAACAATTAACTGCTGAAAGCACCGAACATAATGAGACAAAAATTAAATTAGCCACTGCGGAAACTGAGCGGGATAATTTTCAAAATGGAAAAACCACTGCTGAAAATGAACAAGATACTGCCAAACAAGATTTAGATAAGGAAAAAGCCGACCATGAAAATACTAAAAATGAGCGAGATACGACCCGCACTGATTTAGATGCTGAAAGAACTAACCATGCTACTACCCAAACCGCTTTAAATGCTACTAATGATATTTTAAAGAACTGAAAAAAACAATTTGGCACCGACAAACCAGCCGAAGCCAAAAATAAACTAACTGATACGGAAACGGAACGGAATGATTACCAGACTAAATTAACTA